CGTAATAGAACCTTCAATGCAAGCTACGATGTAATATCCCGCTGTCCCGCAAGCCGCACCACACCAACCAAAAAAAATCTTTGCGTATAGACAGATAATGAAATTGCTTGAAATGAGCTCGGATACAAGGGAATTATTTTCTAGTATAGTCTGGAATGCATTATGTTAATTTTAAAGGAAGACAAATCCGTTTTACGTATCATGAATTACCCGTACTTCTGGAAAGCCGGCTTTGATGACTATAATATATATCGTACGCTATTGTTCTATACATATATCATATACTTGCCAGTAGGCTTCCAATAAAAAAAGCTGATTAAATGAATATTAAACGGGGCATGGCGTTCGTTTTTGAAATTACTAACTAAAAATTAAAGCCAAATAGGTATTGAGAGTAGTGTTTTCCGGGCGGGTCGAGATAGTGTAGTCCTTGAAAAAGCTTCAGGCGTCACCACCAGGTCAATTATGTCCTTTTGCGAGCAATTACTCAGTTTACTTTTGGCCGGAGCAAACCGCTCGGAGACGTTAGCTTCGGAAGTTTCAGCGAGTTACTTGACTCAAGACATTATCGATGCGCTTGTAAAGCGCATCCGTCACAGCGTCACAAAATGTTAGCATTTAAACATTTGGCGCCACCGCTGGCCGAGTCGATTGTGTTGGAGGTACATACCAGGATAGTGCTTCTCGTATATTTCAAATGAAAATAAACACGTTGGTGACTGTTGAAAAAAAGACTATTTAGAACATGATCTTGGCACATCATAAACTTAATTTTGACTGTGTCGCACTTCTCGCTGCGTGTATGAGAAAGATTTTCTATAAACTGCTAAAAGACATCGTTCTTGTCCAAATTGAACGTGTTACGATACACAGAAAGTTTTCACAGGAAACTTAAGCCGGATACAGCAACCGTTTTGTTCACATCGGACACACCTATAGTTACTCTGTTTCAGGTTCTTATTCTTGTGGCCTATTGCGTTTTGGTGAGTACGTGATCAGTTCCACGATATCAGTAAGGCGATATTAGGCTAATATTGTTATCCGCCTTAAGTTTTTTTTTTGTTTTAAACCGTTTGAACTGAGTGGGCTCGATTAGTGGCATTAGTTAGATGATTGGTTTTTAGCATTCAATTTTAGATAACTATGGACTTTTTGCGGTTGTAATGGTTAACAAAAATTCTATGGTGTGATTTTTCTGAAGGTTTGGTAAGGCTAAACTTCAAACTAAACGATGAAAGGTCTTTTTATTATAGTGTATATATATGGGCACAAAAATCGCAGTATATATTTTTATATATTGATGTAATAAAATGTAATAAGAATGATGATGATGGGAAGTTAATGGGGCGGATATCGTTCTGCAAGACGGGCTTGTTGATTATTTTGCTAACTTAAGTTAAAAGCTGGTATTTTAGATGTGAAACAATCGGCTAGCGAGCTTTCAAAGAGCACTTTGACATAAGCGTCTTAGTTGCCATTTCACGTAAATAGATAAAGATTGTTAAATCGTTAACATACAAACTCTAGCTACAGAATAGCTCTACACACATGTCGCGTGTGATTACTTTGGAACAAGAAATTGAAATTGAGACTTTTTTTTCTATGAGTCTACATTAGAATCTACATGCCAACCAAAATAATATTTCAAGTTTGACGTAAATACACGAATTGGTTCAATTATAACCAGACGTAAAGACCACAAGAATCTACATCGAATATTTTGATAACTTACCGTTGAAAACCAGCCGAAACGACATCCACATAGAATCAAATTTAGTCCTCATACAAACTAAAGGACAACAATGTAATCGCATAATAGGGCTATCTATCTCTTATCTAATCGGTGGCAAAATCCTTACCTCTATATAAGTATACCAAGACACATGTTATATTTTTAATATGGTCATTTTTGTATCCGTTATCTTACGCAAATGGTAAATTAGCCCCGTTTACCAAATACACGGTAACCTATCAGCGAAATTTTCAATTGCATCGCACTAAGTAAAGCCTAAGCTCTGCAATATCGCCCATCTCTATTTACATCAAAGAACAGACACCTAGAACTCGATGCCATAGACACCCACGGACCGGTTAATGGTCCTGGCGCAAATAGCCGTGAACTTGAGGGGCGTCACTTCAAATGGCCATTTCGTTAATTGCCACTTTCAGCTTTCCTTGTGGACTCTTTCAACTAGTGGAGAAGCCGCCTAGGAATGGATGAGAAGAATTCGGCACGGGCTTAATGATGCCATATATATATCCAGTAACTGTTATCAGCCAGTCGTCTTTCCATGTAAGTATTAGTATAGGCAAAGATTGGGAGTATTGTTTAAATTCATGTTCAAAGAAATTTCAATTCGAAGTTAAGTAATGAATTTAGAAGTGATCTTTAACATACAAAGCGAAAAATCAAGGTCGTAGGTAAGCTTTCTGGTGAAGATAAGCATTATAAATTAGCCTTGGAATGTAAGGTTTTCGAAATTAGCTTGTGCTGAGTAATAAAGTAATATGGAAAAACACTACTCATCGTAGTTGTCTTAGCAGGTGCAACGGACAATACTAATGTAACCATGGGTTTAGGCTCGCATACAGTGTGCTTTTCCCTAGGATAGATATTGCATATAAAAGAGAGCGATTATGATCACGCAGAGCCAAATATCACCGTTTTAGGAGATTTTACAAGCGAAATAATGAAGGAACTGTTTCGTTAAATAATGGAAATCATCAACATATGTACAACACCAACCACCAAAACTCCAGTAGGAAACACCGTCTTTGCAACGATCCTTGATACGATCACCAGAATTTATCCATCGTTTGCCAAGCTCCACAAGAACTCAGTTTAATCCAATTTAGTCGACTGTATCTGTTAGAAGATCAGACGAACTGACCTGTCGATAATGATGTCATAGAATCTCCCGTCATGTCTCAATGGAATATAACCATCCCATGCGAGCTGAGAATTTGCTCGGTTTGGAAATGTGAAAGCCAGTGGTCTCAATTAGGTTTACTATATCACCCAACCTCGTCAATTTCACGTTTTCTACATTTAGCGAGTCCAGCCCAGACATAGAATACAGACATACCAGTTAGAGAGGTTAAATGCTAAGGGGATCAGAAAAACTGATGGGAAACCTGACGGTTTACAAGAACATGCCTAAGAAAACTACGCCTAAAAAATACAAACAACATTATTCGGTGACAGTTAAACATTCTGTGCCAATGAGTGATGAAAACGACGGCATACCCCACTGCTTTACCACTATCACCGGGGCCCCGAAAAATGTTAATGTCTCCGGTGGTTCCCTTGGCAGGTAGACATAGGATCTGGACGTAGAAAAAAGTACTCGATAACCGCGTGCCCATTTATGCATGAGGGACACTAATGTTGATTTACCTGCAAATTCAAGGCAGGTCCCATTCTCAATGAATTCACGAAAGCTTAATCGGAAACGAAGTGTCATTACCTACCCTTTTTCACTCCACCAGTCTAGCTCAAATTATTGTTATATATTTTTCGTAAGCCTCATTGTTATTTCAACTGTGTCTTGTTGCTAGTTTTCTTGCATTTTTTTGCTAACCTTCTAATTTACTAGAAGTTAAGTAAAATTTTGTGCTCCCTCTGCTTCGTCTGAAGGCAGATTTCACTCATGTGTATTCAAACCTAAAAACCTAATGATATCGAATAAAGAAAACTTCTAATGAAGTATTTCGGAAACATCAATAGTGTTTGTGTATTTTTGCAAATTAATAAGCAAGTAAAAAAGGTTTTTCTTTGCAAAGAAATTAGTGAGATTTTTGAAATTCTAAATCGGCCAAAGTTTCATAATATAAAAATACCCGATCTCTGGTTAAATACTGTAGGGAAAGTAACCAAGCAAACCATCAGTCAAACATTATCAAAACCAGTACACGACTAGAAAGCTGACGTTATTGCTATTGGTTAACTTGAAAAGGTTAAAAACTTTATATTTCCATTTTTTTTAATACACAAATCGATTTTATGAATAACATGTAGAAAGGACTATGACGCTAGAGAGAGGGGAAGCCTGCAAAAGAATAGAAAACCTTTGCCGGACAGACATAAAATCTACAAAGCAAACAATTAAAACTACAAAGACCATTATGCAGGTATGCAGTATTTCCATGTACAAGAGCTTGGCCAATCACTGCGGCAACTACTCAACGTGATACGCATCAATGTACATCTTTTTTGATGCTACACTAAACCACTGCTGTTGTTGTATCTTTTTATTTCGAAAAAAGTAGTTGTGCTCGGCTTCTGAGTAACTGAATCTTCTATTCAGCGTTGTTATTTTATCTGAACGACCACGCAAGTTGAACACGACACAGGTTCAGAAAAAATGCAATTTTCAAAGACTATTTTAAGGTACCATTCTTTTGAACTTAAGCATATCGCATCTAAGCAAAATAAGTTCGTCGCGCCCGCAGTATACCGTAGGTGTTATAAGATGTGAAAGATAAAGATGTGAATTTCTTTGAAAACTACAATTCGCTTTCGGAAAATCAATGTTCTGATATTCAAACATGTAAAAAAATATACCTAAGACTTATTATTTGTATTCTGTTTTTGTAAAGGCTCTTTAGTATTCTAGCAGTGTAGGCTAGTTCGCGTACGATGTTAGCTTTAGCAGTACTTCCTCGCTATCGTGTGTACATATAAAGTTACCAATAACTAATAAATAGCGCATCGTTTCGTAGGACTCTTTCGAGGACAGTTTCTTCCCGTATATATTCGTTGGATAACATCGCGATTCCAGCAAACACACATAGTGTATAACCGATCGAATAGAACCGATAAAAATGCTTTAAGCATTTGGCCATCTATTGTGATGGTGTGGAGCTCAGTTAATGAACGTGTACATGTTTGTTCCACTATACAACATAACCTGGTAACATTGAATACTACGGAGATTTTCAAAACAGGTATTTATTAGTCTGTAAGGTTTAAAAAGTAGACAGGCAGTAAAAACACATAATACCAAAGTTGGCATACAAATGGTTTATTGGCGTTTAGCTTGTTGTCCATAAATCATTGTCCGAGGCAGACCCTTTCGCTTTCTAGACAAATTCATTCGCTCAATACTAATATCATTCATGCTAGTTCTCTTTAGTAAACGCCCACAGCAGGTTAATTCTAGCTCGGAGCGGACGTATACAAACGCTTTGCATATATATATATAATGTGAATCATGACTCGTGACGTTAGGATACGTCAGTGTAAGATAAGCGTACTGACAAACACATAACAAAACCTAAGTTTTCATTCGTTACAATTACGAAAATTAGTCATGTCATAAGTTTACAAAAAACGAAAAAATGGGACTGTCTGTAGAAGCAATCACATTCAAGCCACGGATTTCATTTAACCTTATATCATATATAGAGCAATGAAAGTTGATGTCACAAAGCCCTATTGCGTTATACTTTTTCCATGGCCCAGTATTAATCAAGTGCTATTTCAAAGTTGGGCTCGGAGTTTCTGCTTTCCAGAGTCGTTATACCATGTGCCTTGCCAATATCAGACGAGCACTTGGTGTCGAAAATAATTGGCACGCGTCTTGTCTCTTCTTCTTCTTTCTAGGTACACTAAATACAGCAGTATTTTCTTAGAATTATTTAACCATCGTGGTAAATGTAAAGCGTCCTGTTCACGAAATTGTACGTGTTAGCCCCTTCTGCAAGCAAATCTTATAACAATACTGCTAATTTCAGGATGTACCAGAAAATCGCATGATATGTCTAGATTGAAATTGCAGTTGGTGTAATTTTGAGTGTATTAAGATGAGGTTGATGTTGAAAGTATTGCATGGCCAATGCCACGCAGATAAGAGAATCGCATCGATTACTTTGCCCAATAGCTTAATTTCTTTTGTTCTTTAAGATTTCGCCAAGAATAAAACGTGATCCGCTATGTGCAAAAACGTGGGTAGTCTTAAAATTATCAATTTTTTGCTCAGAGATCTTTCTTTGAAATTCAATAGTGCCTAAGGCTACAAGGATCACGCAAGCGATCTCTACGACTTCAGATCTGAGCTATGATAACGCGTCCTATTGAGTGCTTCTGTAAAACGGGTGTCTTTGATGTACTGTTCAATCTGCATCCCTCGTTCTGAAGGATTATCACCACATCTCCTCAGTTGTTTGAAAATGTGTTCTTTCTACGGAAATCAATTCTAAATACTCAGTCCTATTTATACACAAATTATATACATGTTTAAGTTGAGCTTAAAGCTTTGACAAATTTGGGCCACAAGCGCATCTACTCTATTTGAGAAAAGCTCCTTTACAAGCTGTCTACTCCTCACGTTTCATTAAATAGCATATTTTTTCTGCCTGTATGCGTGATTTTTTTCATGATCAGTTTAAGCTATTACTAACGACAATTCGACCAGCTTTTAAATTAATGCAAGTAGTGTGTCGTTACGACATAGAAAGTTTAACGCGCCCTGGGTAAATTGAGTTACTCTGCAGTTTCGCCTATTTTTTTTCGGCCAAAAAATTCTTTGATTAATGTGCCAGGTCAATTTTTTCGTACATCCAATTGATCCGTTTTGCTAGTAAGTTAACGTATTTAATTTAGTATCGTTTGAATATAACGGATATCATGACTACGTTTGCATATTGCAGTTGTCTGAGGTATCGCAAAATTGACCAATTGGCTTGAAGCTACTACAACTGCCGTAAACATGAAAATTATGTTCTTTCCTCCCGATGTTGATGTCCATTGGCAGGTATGCCGACGCTACTTAAATTGTCCCATACCAGCGACATATTCCTGACTATATTTCCTGACCTCCTGTTTCCATTTAAGCGAATGAACTCGCTGTTCTCAATTGTAAACAAGGAGATGAGACGTGAGTGGGCACATCTTCATTCATCAGCGGAAAAATGTTGTGATTCATTACTTCGTATGCTCGTCGTTATAATAGCTATTAATATGAGGATGTATTATCCGTACTGCAGACGAAATTTTTTGCCAGGCGCCATGCTAATATCGTGGGCGTCATTTTTAGACTTGAAAATGCGATGCTGGATCTACGGGTTATCGTAGATACCACTGGCGGTTGTGGAAGGTAGAGGGGGCTTGTGCCCTGGCGGAGGCTTCCTTGGTATTGAAACTGTGCTAGCGTGAGGCCGCGTGGCGTGTAAGCTTATCTGAAACAAGCCACGGGCAAAAAATGCATTTTTGCTACATCATGAGTCATAGAGATTATACAAAGATTAATAGCTGAAAAAAGATAAATATTAGAAATTGTAGCAGTATTTTTTTCGGTTGTATAATCCGCAGACAGAAGCCGTGTGCCAAACTGAGTCTTCTACATCTTGCTCATACCTGTTCGTCGATACTGCTTGTGGACATCTTTCGCAAGCTGCTGCTTTGATGGTGGTGTTGTGGTCCGTCGCTTGCCATCATTTTCACAGATGTATGCCCCCCAGCTGAGGCGCTATCCAGTACCGTGCCTAAACTTGACGTAGAATTCTGTTTACGCATTGGGCCAACTCCTTTGACGTTCAACAGTGATCCGTCTATGGATGCAGGGATCACGAAAGCTGGAGGTGCGATACCGATTGACCCGTTTAAACTGACCGAATTCGAACTGTTTTGAGAATGCGGTGACGTAAGAGGTGAGGCTCGTGATGAGCATCCGCTATTAATAGCTTCAACGAGTCCCGCCACGAGACCTCCGCTACGTGGAAGGCTGCCTGTTCATCGACAATAAACGTGTACGAGCTACTCAAATTTTTTTCTTTGCATAATTGTAGTCACAAGTTTCATATATAGCTAAAAAGTTATGTTTTACCATTTGTGTTACATCCATATATATATTGAACCTCTCAAAAAACTTTTTAATGCTAACCGGTGCGTCAAGCGATACAAGCTAGTACAGATTCGCTAAGGTGTCCCTTAAATACGTTTGATGAGGAACTCTTCAGCGAAATTCGATTTTGAGCTGAAACCATGCCGAAAGTTCTGATGTATCAAAAATGGCTTTTTGAATCTATTGAAACTAAATCCTATTCAAAATATTCCAGCTTGCCTTCGGAATCTTACTCAAAGTCTTCGGAAGCCGAATAGAAACTGGCGGCAACGTAAACTATCGATCTCGGGAAAAAGTTGCTGACCTTAGTGGGGGGTGATTTCGTTCAGCATAGTGAGGTTGAATTCATTTTCCTTCAAATTACAGAAACGACGTATTATTTTTGACAAGTTTGTTTCTTGTCTTAGAAAGAACAGGTACTCTTGTAGAGCCGAGGCTGAATGCATGCTGTTTACGATGAACAAATAATTTAATCAATGGTCGAATCCGATAAATAGAAATATAATAAATGGCTGAGCAATGTGTGTCAGGAAATGGTAATAACCAGTAGGATTACTATTGTCATAGATTCGAGAATACAGAGGAAGGGCTAGAAGCACCGGGCCTCTTTGGTGACATCTGACGTTGTACATGGACTTTCTAATAGATGCAAAAGACAAATACAGATTATGTAAACTTACATAAATTGTATTTTGAATATTTAAAACTAAATTACTCTGTTAGATAAAAACGACTTTTCGAGAGTCTATAGGCCTTAAAACGTTTTTGGGATTTCATGAGAAATATTTGATAAAAAATACCGCTAACACACAAAAATGTGTTGATCGGACTGAGAGCAATTTTTGGCAAAAAAAAACAGTTGTTTTTATTATGTTGTCAAGCACATGCTTTCTCTTATAGTGTCAAGTTTTTCCAGCCAAGAAAGAACCTAACAATGTCCACAATAAGTTATCTTAGAAAACGTCAGACTTAGATCAAAATTTTAAGGAGGGGGTAAATTTTCAAACAAGCTTTATTATGCGTTAGGATAACTGTTTGCCAAAGTTATATTTTCTTTTTTTAATTTAAAAATACGTAATGTTATTTATATTTGTATTTAATCAAAATAAAAATTCCGGCATCCCTAGTGGCAAGCAGCGCGATGGGCCATGCGCGTTCCACGTGCATACGGACTTACCCCCAAGATTGCTACCGCTTGCACAGCTCTGGAAACTACTAAATGTGTTGCTCGGTGTGGACCTTCCTAAACACGGCAAGCTACCCACGGATTCTGCGTGACTGGTACCTTGTGAGAGGGCTAGCCCGAGTCCAGGCGTAGACGCCCCTGAACGTAGGCTTTGCCCCCCCGTTTGCGACTCCGAATGGTGTGACGCCGATGTTGATCGTGGCAGACTCTCACTTCTGTAACAATAGAAATACAATAAAGCCACCGCTCCTTTCCTGCTTGCAATGCGCACAGCATTTAGGCTCACCAAATTTAGAGAAAATAGGCTAGGTTTAAATTAAATGCATAGATCATGCCAAGCAGACAATTCTATTGGCAATATTTTATCAAATTAGCTTTAGCGCGTGTTTAAGCAAACGGTATTTCATGAGCAGTATGTATAACCCGAGTAACCAAAAGCTGTTAGGATAGATAACTGAATAAGGCACTGATGTAGATAAAATTCATACGTACTTGAATGATGTTGGTGTAGAACTGCGAGGTGTCGAGCATTCGCTCTGCAAGATACGTTCGCCAGAAATTGACGAACCGCATTCGCTTTGACTGCCACTACGGCTGTGGCGTCCGAATGATGTCACTATTCCAGATTTTGTCACGCTGGAGCTCACAGACATCATGGAGGATGATGAAGTGGCAGCTGGCGTTTCGTGAGCGCCGGTAACTTCCGTGGTTCTTAGCAAATCGACGATATCCAAGAGGTTCTTTGCGTCCACGGCGAGAGAGTGAGCCGCCTCCAGCATGGCCCTTCGCTGTTCGCTATCTGTTGGTCGTTGCACTGCGAGTTTGACAGCTGACACGAGAGCTGCCATATCAGCGCTGAGTACGCGCTGGGCCGGTTCCACCCGCCGGGTGCGCGGATCGACCCCGAGCACTGTGGGGGACAGGCCGTCGACGGCAGCCAAAAGTCCTCGCAATGCCAGCCCAGTTTGGCGGACCAGCTCTACGTAGGCTTCAGCTTGGTGTGCCCGAACACCTTCCGACAGCCGCATTACCGCTCGCACCACGCCGGTGGTTGCTTCATAAATGGGTTCGCCCTCACCATATCTGTTAGCCGTTGATGATCCAACCCGCGGCGTTATGACTGCTGACGTACTGGGCGTCGCCGACCCGACAGATATCGAATGTGAACTAGCTACACAAACAAAATCAATATACTGAAGTAAGAGTGAGTGCTATAAAAAGCAAATAGCCTAATCTTCTCGTACACAGTTTATAGATAGAACCTGTTACTTGAACAGCTGTCATGATATGGAAATATTATACCCACAAAGTTGAACTCAAATGTCATAGTGACTTACCTGGTGACTTAGGCATCCCGTTAGCTGAGCTGTTGTTATTGGTCGAGGTGCCTAGATGATACTGACGTGCTCTAGCATGACTTGAGAGTGAAGTTTGGCCTAATGTCGGACCAGTGACAGAGGCCTGTGGTGGCGGTGTCCCGAATGGTAGGGGCTGCTCGTTCAGCCACCTTTGATCGCGTTCAGCTTCTCGTTGCTGGTCTTTGATTTTAATCTCAAGTAACCGCTTTTCTAGCAGATCACGCTCATCTACCAAGGTCGATCCCAAACCACTTGACACTCCTAAGGGTTTGCTTCGTAGAGGAGGTGACTTTGGAGCAGGTGGGGGCGGCGGGTTATCCTGTTGCAATGAATAAAAACATTTTGTTAGAAATATACAGAGTACATGAATATTGTGTGCGTACGTTGTTTTAATTTTGTCTAATTTATTATTTTGCTTGTCACCACAGTTCAGTCACCAAGGTCGTTAGTTAGCAATTTGAGATTCTATTAGGCGCACCACAGATACAAATTAGCTATACGTCACATAAATATATATATATATGATGCTCTAATGTTAAATGCTTACGAAAGTATGATCATGTAGCTTCAGCTGAACGGCCGATAAATTGCAAACCTAAATGATTCATGCTTAAGGGTGAGCTATAGTGTCCTATGCTCAAAAGCAAAAAAGTTCACAAACATAAATAAATTAAAACATACCGTCTCACACGAAAATAACGTCGTTTGCTATATACGCTCGTTGTCGTTTGCTCGGACATCAAAACGCTTTGACGAAAACGGTATTTCTAGGAAAACTATGCTTTATATTTGAACTTATTAAAACCTACCAAAATGCGCCAATGCTTACCAGTGCTCTTGGTTACTACACCAAGAGAGTGGCGACAGACACTCATCCCAGATGCTATTGTTTCCAATAATAACAACAATAAATAGGTCTAATGGCAGTGCCAAAAGATGCCATTGTGCGGTAATGCATATATATATCAGACACACTAATGCATATATATATCAGACGGCCTCATAAGCCCGTTTCGTATTTTCAAACGGTCCGGATTTTAGTGGATTGAGTGCGGAAAGAAAAGCCCTTCCTTACTGTATTGATAAGGTTGCCTTCTAGCTATCTTGTGGCGCGATATTCAATTCGACTGTAGATTTCAGTTTAGTTAGAGATGTCAAAGGTGTATTCAAAATCGACTTCGAAGTTTTATCTCTGGAAAGGGTTGATACGACCCAAACCTTTGAAAACAATTGTGGGGTGCATGGATCTGATACTGTAACCGAATATATGGTCAGGAAGAGGTTCGTTGATTTTCAAGGTGGTGGCTTCATAATTCAAGATGAGGTACGTCCTGGTCCACCCTTTTACTATGAACATGCTATATCTGTAGTTGACCAGCCCTGCACACGACCCTTTACTAGATTACAAAAAACGCAGGAGCATCTAAAATAAGTAGCTAACAATGATTACGTCAGTCAAATGGACATCTAGGTTTCCCGTAGGTTGATCTATCACAAACTAATGAACTCCGTTTGCACGGCCTATAATTTTATTGAAATTGAACTAAAACAACTCTTTTCTTGCAAAGATGAGATCGGGCAATGAAGAGTGGATAAGTTACAATATTGCCAGAAAAGGCAAATCGTCGTGAAAACGTGGTAGGTACGAGAGCTAAAGCTCGCCAGATCCAAAAGAAGGTAATGCTGTACACTTGGTGAGACTGTAGGGGAGCGATCCTCTACGACGTTCTCCCAGGCAGCCAACACGTTAACTCGGTTAGGTGTTGTAGAAAGATCGACTGTTTAAAACACAGCGTTCAAGAAATACGTCCGGCTATGGTGATTAGGAAAAAAGTAATGTTTACACATTACAACGCCAAATCTCATACATTTTTATAACCTGCCAAAAATTTTATGAGTTTAAAGAAAATGTTTTACCCCATTCTTCTTGTGGCCCCGACCTTATTCCTACAGATTATTTTTTCCGATCTTCAGAGAATCTTTCTTACGGTAAGAATTTTGTATCTTTAAAAGTGTAAAAGGCCATTTTGACCACTTTACTTTAACTTAAGATATTAACTTCTAGCAACAATAAATTGAAAAATTGTCTAAAAGAGGAGCAGGCTCATAACTAATAACGCCCATCGTCATTTGAAGTAATTGGGCAAAAAAAATGGTTTTCATTTGTTATTTTGAACAAAATCGGAGCGAATTCACGAGAAGACGCAATAAGACATACAGGAAGTCGCGCTGATTAAAGCCTCACCGTAAGATGCATATTATAGTTTTTATTGAATAAAAATTATGAGTAAATCAAGAAGAAAGGGACAATTAAAACCGTCTCAGTGTTGCAAGACAACGCCCTAATCTAAGCTCCTGCCTAATATCGGTTGCTCTCAAATCCTACATACCGAATTCGAGTTGATTTTACAATAAAACAACACATCCAAATTAGGTAGGTCTTAAGCATCAAAACAATTATAGTTCGCATTTTTGTCTTTATATCATTCCTTGACTATTGAATGTGGAACGTACCCATTTATAATTTTGATCACCCTCAACCTTAAAATATTTAATTTTTTACTGAACCTCTAATAATAAATAAAGCCTTTGCGTTCTCTCCTGTGGTCTAATTTCTCAGCAACATGCTGCTGGAGTAGTAATATGACGTGTGTTCTACATGAATTCTTCTAATATTGACATCCTAAGACGAGCATAGCGCCTCTGATCCACTGAACCTCTAAAAACAGGAAAATAGTGGTTCTTCATGACCTCTGCATTGGTTAGTTAGGTGCTGAATCCGCGTTTTTTTAGCCGAATTATTTGCTTTATCTTTGGGTATGCTCACTTCAAATTGTTCCAGTTCATTGAGGTTTACTGTTAACTAAAAAAGCACTCTTTATACATATATATAGAAACAGGTATCTCATTTCCTTTTCTACTCCTTTCTAAGATGCTCCGATAACTTTCGAAAAGGATCTTAGACCTCTCAAAAAATCTATTTGTTCATCCTTTACTGTTGAAGAACAGACTTCTTGAAAGAACTCGTTTAAACTCGTTTTGAGTACGCAATTAATTGTTTTTCCTCGAACTTAAATATTTTTGCATCATATGTTTTACAGTTATTACAGGAATTTTGAGATATTTTTCAAATATCTGTTAGATGTAATATCCTAATACTAAGAGTTTCATTATTATCGAAATAATTTATTTCAGCTAAAAAGAGTTGTAATGATAGAGAAAGTTATAGGGTTTAAACCTGTTGAAGGTGAGTGTTGAAAGCGTTACTGCCACCAGCAGGTAGTAAAAGTGCGACGTTAGATGGCGAACATGAGACTGACAACGAAGATTCGTTGGTAGCCCCCGAGGTCGAAGCCACAAGCCCCGCATCCCGAGCTGCTGCTTCCAAAGCTGCTGCAACGCCCCCCGCCGCAACTCCGAGTGCCCCTAAAGGAGGGGAAATTTCCGGAGTGGTTGCGCCAGTTGGAGAAATCACTCGGTCACCCTCAAAGCTGGTCATATTGTGACCACCAACGGCAAAAGTATTTGTTGGCGAAGCGGGTGCGACATACGCCCACGCAGGCGGCATCGACCCGTCATTGTCACGCATCAGCCGTGCAAGAACTTCGGGTGTTTCTGCTACAATGTAGGTGGCCGGGGCCAAGGGCGCAACAGTAGCAGAACCAGATGAGGCTTGTGAAGCTGTCGCCGTGGTCGGCGGCGTGGGGGTACCACATACACTATTTCGATGTTCGCTGGCAGGTCGCGCGGGCTAAAACGAAACAAAGATAAATACTTTAGTCCCACATAAGAGTACAACTGCAAAAAAAAGATAAAAGGGAGCTCACAATAACTAGCGATGAGCACAGGCTTATAGTTTTATAGGTCACATAAAAAAAAATACAAAGTAGTGCTTTGCGCCAGTTTTATCGGCCTTAGTTAGGTCGGTACCACGTTATAGGACTCACCGTATAACAGGACAAAATATCGTCGCTGGATTAGAAATTATCTAGAAGCTTCTTCAATAAAGGTTCATGTTAAAGAAATATTGAAATGTTCAAAAGACGGCAACGTATTTGTTTCAGACTAAACAAATTTCCATTAAATAATTTAAATATATGTAAACTAACAGGTAAAGATATTACGTTAGTATACTGCTAATCGTTAAACAGGAACACGGTTAGTTGTGTCCAACCTTTGGTGGTGGTTCGTCCGAACCGTCCGACCCATCGGAGCCCCAAGAGAGCGCGTTTGTGCGACGCAGCTCCCTACGACATGATTCCGCCTGTGCACGTTCCTCGTTGTAGATTTCGCTGTATTAAACCAATGATCAGATGTTAAGGTATCCACATTTTCATATGGAAGTCAAGACAAGGATAGAGGAACCATTATCAATTTTTGGACGCAGCTTTCCTATCAAATTAATAACTTATGTGCCACCTATTTTTTTAATTGATGTAAACGTTCAGCACACCGTGCCTTATGGTAATTATATATAAAACCTTGCTGCTTAGAGCTTATATTGTATCCTGCACTCTGTAAGGTATTAAAAATGGCTTTGTAGACGGTGTACTTATAACACAGAATAAAGGTGCAATCAGCATAAGAAACTCACAGCAATGCTTCTTTAAGAAATAGGAACGTGGGTCTTTTGGCAGGATCGTATGACCAACACAGCGAGAGTACACTGTAGAGTCTCGGAGGACAGCCATGCGGCAGAGGAAGCCGTTCACCGTCCTCTAAACGTGCTACCACCTCACCATTTTTGACTCCTTGGAACGGCTTGATACCCAGACTTAAGATTTCCCAAACGCACACGGCGAACATCCACACATCACTCGCGGACGTAAATCGCCTACAACATCCCGCGTAATCATATCGGCAATGAAAGCGACAGCATGAAAGCAAGGAATACTACAATGAGGAGACTGTTATAAACAGAATTATATATCTATACACTGTGTCTAGCAGAATATACGGAGCTTACGTTTAGAGAAGTAAGGTTTAACAGTTAGAGTTGTACCACTAACCGGAAATTGATCGACTCTGGAGCCATCCATTTAATCGGCAGTTTGCCACGAGATGCCGTATATTCGGCAGCATGTCCCAGCTCTCTAGAAAGACCGAAGTCGGCAAGTTTAACACAGTCTCTCGAAGCCACGAGCACGTTCCTGGCTGCTACATCTCGGTGCACAAGACCCTTCTGTTGTATGTAACACAATGCAGAAGCTAGCTGGCGAGACCACAGTAGTTGTCGAGGCAGCGTTATACGGTCACGGTGGCGTTGCAGAAACGCCCTTAGTTCTCCCAATCGAGCAAGCTCCATTACGATCCATACAGGTGCCGACGAGCAGGTTCCAACCAGCCGAATGATGTGAGGATGGTCCAATTGCTTCATCGTATCTACAGGTGGGCACATGCATATATGACGTTATTAGGTAGGTTATGGTGGTGGTTTGAATGTCAAAATACACTTGAATATATAGTATCTATGTTTATTGAAAAACGCAAGTTTTATCGGCCCATTGCGAATCACAGGATAAAGCACAGATAAGATACACACGGGCTTCATCAAGAAGCTTGTCAGCTCCATCGTCCTCCGTTAGCTCATCTCCTGTTGTATATTGCTCCTGAATTTCTCTTTTAGCGATCCCCTGTCCATTACACGTTTTAATGGCAACCTGTACACGAGTTCCGTCTTTAGCGCGCCATTCTCCCCGATGAACAGCGCCAAACTGTCCTTGTCCAATCACCTCACCGAGTGTTAGAGTAGCACGATCCAATTCCAGATCACGAGCTGGAATTACTTATATGTTATCAATCATTTTTTGTTGCCCTATAACTTCTTTTTAATAAAGCCTACATATACGTTTCTAGAGATAGGTAAAGTCCTTTAGTTACTTCCTTAGTTAGAAATTGAAAAGGTCGATCTTGTATTTACGTCTTGTATTTAATAAAACAATTAAGCTTAACTTGTGTTTTAGAATTTCACTACATTATTTAGTGTGCTCAGAAGTGATATATATTATGCCGTATAAAAGCTGGTGTATATCATATGAGGCTATATTTTGATAGATTTCGAATTAATGTACACACTCGCGCTGGAGTAATCCCCCTCAACGTCATCGACGATTTCAGCATAATCTTCAGAATGTCTTAATTTGCTTTCGCCCACGCCGAGAATTTCAACTCCAGCATGACCAGCTGAGCGTGGCTTTGATGAACTGCGCCTGTTGAACCCATCGAAGAATATCGTTATCATAACAAGCGCATTTAATTAAAGCATCATCTAAAGCTTCACTCACTGATAAAATAAATAAAAAAGGTATTGCAGAAAATATGAGAAAATTGCGTTCGCTTAGCGATAAATGTATAAATGGTAACGTGTCCCTCTGATCTCTAAGTGTTATGTGTTACAATCATTTTATAAGAACAGTATTACATTTCTTGAAACAAGTAGAAGTGGCAGTTAGATAATAAAAGGGATAAGGCCTACATAAATTAAAAGTATAACGACATATAACCATGGCGTATGTAAGGAACGTACCTGTAGCGTGGAGGATGATTATCTAAAGGGGGAACACATAACATTAGATACGAGCATAATATAGAAAACACCAATGGACAGATAGCCCATATATTAAAACAAAATGTAGTAACCAATAAAAAAGACTACTAAATAAGAAATCAAATGGCCATTCTTAGAACAGCTTCCAATTGTAGTATCAGGTCAGTTTCAGTAGTAACCATTTACTCAAAGACTCAGAACGTGTTCGAGAGGCATCTTCTTTCAAATCAAATTTTCAAATATTTTTTTACATTTTCAACCGTTTTTGCGGTGTGCACGTGTTTTCAAAAATCATTTCTTTAGCCACAGCATTAAAACCTGCCCACCCTATAATGTATTGCTGAAGTGGGCTTCGTTAAACTTATTTGGGCTTTTTCCAACGTACTTAGGGCATGTGCATTAGTCACGTAGACCGCGTAGACCACCCTATTGTACATCAACCGGCATATGTTTATATCACGTCTTTTGTCACAATATTGTATATTTTACACAGTCAAGCATACCTGTACAAGATGTTACTTTTTTTTTCAATACAGATGCACTTGCAGAACATGTGCCCAATAGCAGCACACGATAGTAGGAATGTTTACTGCTAACGGCATAACTCAACCTCAAAAATTAAGAGTACTCAGGAACACTTTCAGCAAGCTCTTTTTAGCGAACATAGACACAATTTTACTGCGTATGGTTATTATTAGTGTTTTGTGAAAAAAAAAAAGTCGAACTTTATCTGTTTTGCGCAAAAAGAAACCAAGCATCTTAGATACAGCAATATAGAATTAATTACTTAAAGTTCATTCATATAATTCTAGGCTTACCATCGGTTGTACTTTCAGATTCCGAGTCGTTGTCAGCCCTGCTAATTTCAGATTTTTCAGATTCTCCTGCTTTCAGTTCTAAATAAGCGTTATAAGCGACGAAAACAAAGCGCAACAGCCGTTAGTTGTTAATATTTTTGCGGATCCAAAAGCTGTTAGTTAGGTTATTCCGAGTAACATCAAACAATTTAAATGATGCTTGTTTTGGAAGACGGAATTAACTTTAAGTTGAAGCTTTTTTGCAAACTTGACATCTGCACGTCTGTTTACATTTGATTCAACAAAATGCCCTTCACATCAATATACAGAGACAGGTTTTGTTAAGTCAGCTCGCTATTAACCAAGGCTAGAATGAGCCAACTAGTATAAATCCGTTTCTGACGTTCCTGTATTTCTAATTCACTGTACATAAATAAATACTTAGAGTTTCATGTCCGGTACTGCTTTTGAGCATTGCCTGAACGTTTAACCGTGTTTGCATAAAATGTGGCTTGTTTCGCGCGTTACTAATACTTAATTTTAGTAGCGTTCCAGAATATTTAGAGCCCATTTATGAAAGTGGGTTACAAATTTTAAAACGGTTTAGTGTGAGACAGATTACGAAATGTTAAGTGAAGGCAAAACTTTAAAAAGGCTGTGTGCGAAATACACAGAAAGGAGGATAGCCATACCTTTTCGAGTCCAGTAGGAAGCGTTTGTGGAGTGTACTAGTCGACAGTACCCATCCACGAGATCCGCGATAGCCTCTGCCACACGGAGATTCTCACAGGAAACGCTAAGAGGCTCAGCTGTGCCGGCCACCCGAAGCCGCACAAGAGCACGGGAGTCGCCTTCGTGAACAATCGTTTCGATGTTTTGCACTTGGGCAAATTGCCCAACTGGACGAAGGGGCCCACGTGCATCCGTTGCAAAGCCAATACCCAGCTCACATGAGATCACCAACTCCACAGACACTGTCCAGCCAGTCTAAGATGCAAAAAACAATGCACAATTACTAAATACGTTAAATAATAATGTTGCATGAGATGTGCTTCACCTAACCAGTCACGTTTATCTTTGAATATAGCGGCTGACGAATATTACTATATATATATACTGTATATTTAGTTTGGTCATTCTAATATATCAAAAATAACAATTTAATTCAAATAAACTTACCCCCAGTTGGCATAAAAATACTTCTCGATCGAAGGCGACTTTTCGTTTGACGGATCTTAGAAATTGCAACATACACTGGGTTTCGGAAAGACGGACGACATTTTTAAATTGTGCAAGAATCATCTTGCGTAGCGCCTTGGCTTTGTGCTGCAGAAGGACGCAAGCCGGAAGGAATCTATCTAAGCCAACCTCCCGTTCCAGGAATTCCAACGCCGTTGATTTTTTATCAATCGACAGCTGAGATACATCCTTGTAGAACCTGCTTGAAAACCAAAGTACATTAAATATTTGGACTTCTCGTGTGTGATGAAGGGTGTATAAAAAAATCTTCAAGAAGGTGATCGATTTATTTTGATTCCAATATCTGTTACGGATAAATATACTGACCGTCGTATCTCTAAGCAGCAAAGAGTGATAGCCAACTCAACTTCGACCTCATCCTGCATTTTCAGGTAATCATTTTTAACTTGCTCGTAGAAAAAAGTGAATGTTACTCGATCTCGTTGGAGGAAATCATCCAGATTCGCCAAAAGGTATCGAACTCTTAGCTCGAATCTGAAACATGTTAATTATCAGGATATCCACATTAGATGGACTGTATCGAAATACTGTTTTCAGATTTAAAAAAGCAGCAAAGCAAATTTGGATAAAAATGCAAAAACATATGCACGTAAAAGTTAATATGCGATATAATAAGAAAATGATACGTGAAAGTTAAAATGCATGTAAATATATATACACGTGTATATATTTGTTGGTTGCTACGCCGATAAGTTAAACCTTACCGCCAGTCATTAAGCGATTGCCTGGGTAGATATTTGTCGAGCACTTGGTGGAGGGTTGTGTCGCGATGAAGCCACTGCAAATCACCCGTTGCGGCATGGCGAAGCCTTAACGCAAATAATGCTTCCAATGGTAAAGGAGACGGATGGAGTTGTCCACAGAGCAAATGGATGATTCCCTAGAAATCATTTAAGATGTCTGTTTTGGAACCTCAATAACGTTTTGTTTTGGAAATTTGTAATTTCCACAACGAAACGTTATTGTGTTATTAACAGTAAAGTCCCAATGATCGATAGCAGTTAGTATGAAAGAATGCATCCGTTTATCTCTACGAGTTTGGTCTCATAACTAATAATGCAGCCAAGTATTTTAAGAGTTTGTGTATTTGCTATAGGCAACTGAATGATGACGTTGTCTTATTAAAGTCCAATTTTCTGGATAGATCTGTAAAAGTTTGAACGGAGAAAATTCCCTATATTGCTGATCATATAATGAGGGTGATAAGCCAGTTTTTCTGAGCTTTTTTTGGTGCTTTCGGCTACTTTCGCTGGGTAGATAGATTCCCACGACTATTTACCCAATATAGCATCAGGAACCTGTCCCCACTACCAGATAGTGGCCTTACTTGGAGTTCCTCCAGGAAGATTTTTTGCCCATTTATTTTACAATAATTTCTAGTGAGAATTTGAAGAAAAAAAACATGTCATAAACAGATATGACAAAGATGAGCATTTTTGTTCATGTTTACAAAAAGCTCATTGTTGCGGGTAGCAGTTCGATTACCACATATCATTTACAGCTACACTTAATTCAAAGGATCTTACCTTTGGAGTCAATTTTCTGTGAGGAAAGCACAGGCTTTATAAATTATACAACTTTCTACTACTGTCTGGAGTAACAAGGAGTTCTGTGTTATTTGTGTGGATCCCGACGAAGCCATGGTCAGCTGTGCAATTTTATGAACGACTGTTACATACTGACTGCTTAAATGTCTATATCCTGTTGTGTGTAATATCAACGGCTCCCACAGCCAAAATATGTTTTTGTGTAAATATCTATATAAAGCTGGTAACAATTATAAGCTAGCTAAGCTTTCTTTTTTCGTTTGAACGATACCGTCGAACCTAAAGTTGTAGCCATGTAAACTTCTGCAAACGAACTGCATAAGTACATTACGTATGTTACTGCTTTTCGGTCAAGCTTAGACATAGTGCCTCATGCACACTACCAGTTAACTATATATGTTCATATAATTAGCGATACTAATACAAATTATAGAAAGGATGTACTAAATAATGCTGCCAGCTAGGTGAAACCCTTTTAACCCTCTACAGACTACACCGTTGCGATTGCTCCGACTTACTTCTAGTCAAGTATGCCTCTTGAACAAAATTAACTCATATAATACTAACTCTACACCCTACAATTTTTAGCGAATTTTGTTTTACGATGTATATATCGTTTGCTAATATGTGAGTCTGAAGTTTGTGACTTGTTTTGGAAAAAATAAGATTATACCGAATTTTAAGCAAAATTAGAGAATAGGCTGTCCTGTCTGATCGACTTTTGGCAAAATAGAAATTTACAGTTCGTTGAAAATAAGATCTAAGACGACTCAGTTGTAGAAAAAAAAAGTACACAATAATATTCAGTCGATTTAGGCTATAACGAATTTTAATTTTTCGGTTCTGAGTCTTAAAGGACAGACAAATTAACTATAATCCAGTTTACTATCAGTCACTGTACACCAGTTGTTATAAACGAACTCGTTACCTTGACGTCGGTTGCGTCACCGCATTTCACTGAACGAAACTCTCCATTGTTCAAGTAGACCTTGAGGACTGAGATTGTCTGTTGGCCGGTAGATCGGCTAACATTGACCCCAAGTGGAGCTTTCGGTGGTCGCATCGGAGATAGACCCCCATCACTTCCCGTTCTATCACCACCTGCATCATCCAGTCTGAAATATTAAATTTCGAAAATATAAGAATTAGCACCTGAGCTGTAAATATGTTACGCCAAATCACAATACACGACTAATTTATCTTTAACAAGAAAACCTATTCATCAGTACGGCCCCCAACGTTTACGGTACGATAATTGAAGGCAGTCCCCATCAATGCAGATTTTGACATGTTGATCTTATCAGCAGTTCTATTCAGGATGGAATAGAAAGCATCTTAATGACACTTGGGCATGGTAGCTACCGAATTTGATTAAATATGTAGCTATATAGATGTCTATTAGGAAACTTGTCGTGTTATAGATGTGCGAGCAATCTTCTAAAATTATTTTTCTAATAATAAAAAAAAGCATTTTCTGAAAGGAAACTGCGTATTTTATAATGTATTTAAAAAAAAAATTAAAACAAAAAACGTATTCTATACTATATTGTTGTACTAGAGATCGTACTATATCAAAACTAGATCGCAGGCTGTGATAGGTTCATAGTCGAAAGCGGGCGCTAGAAAACATTTTGCTTATAGTTATAAAATGAACTGGATTTCACCTTGTCGCACAATCCTTTAATCTAAACAAACAGCAGTTTTGCACTTCTATACGTAACTCTCTTTTCAAAATTTAACAGCACAATAACCGCGAACTCTTCATAAGTGTAGCAGATCTATTTTTCAGCCGTTCCGTTCCCTTTGCCTATGCGTTGGCTATACTTTTTCGGTGGAACTTTGGCCACTATACCCTGGTATCTATTTCCCTAGCAGAATTAAGAAAGTCATCATATTTGAAGTCATCTTTCTCAACAAGAAGAGGCGGCGTGTCCTGCAACGAAAACACAATGAAATGTATAATTTGACAGCGCTGAAATTGTTTGAAAAAGATGTGTTTGGTATTATCAAAGCTACTGTGGTTATTTTTATGAAGCTTGGATCTAAGCAATTTTTGCATAATCAAAACTCTGCTAGAAACAGGACCGATTTACTCATAACGAGTGTATTCAAATTTAACGAAGTGCTTGAATAGGTAGTGCGCGTTGCGCTATGCGCCACTTTCACTTTAGTGGGAAGCATTAATTTTGCTGTATTGGAGACTCTTTGTCAGTCTACCCTACGGTTTTGCACTACATTTTTTGTTGGCAACTTATCAATTTGTTTCGGTCAATTTTGACATCAACTTTGTACGGCTGCAGCATTTCTCTACGATCAGTACGTCAATACGGGGGCGTTGTTTTACTTTGATTGTATTCCTATGTATCAACAGTTAGATATTATGCTTGAGGGCCGTCAAAAGAGAAATCATGTTGGCCCGAAGGGAAAGCTCGTTGAGTTCGAATACGAGATACAGCCATTTTACAAGCGACTAAATCAAGTTAAAAAATCTGTGCAGGACAACGTAAATAAATAGATGCTAACAGATGCTTCAGTCAGATGATGGTTATTTTTAGGCCACTCTAATCACCATGAGTGGTAACAATACTCACATGATTAGTATTCCAGCGGAGCTAGTTATCGGTACTGGTTGACTAATATAATATGTTCAGTTTATACAATGATAAAATGGAGATCAATTTCATTTTCGCACTGTAAATGGTGATTCCAGATTGTCCGGCAGCTTATATTTTTTCCTAGTCTGGAACTGTGACTTGCCCTTCTCAGTGTCAGGGACGCAAGATTATGCAAAGAAATGATACAGAGAGTGCTAGCGATGCGAATTGTAGATATGTGTACGTGTCTATTTCCCGATATATCAAGCAAATTAAGTGTCGGATATGAACAATGACCTCCTCGTTCAGACCGCACATTACATAGCGGACCGTAACAGATAAGACTGATGATCGTCGACGATATCGCCTTTGTGTGAGTCGGTTTAAGTACACGCAACGTTGGATGGCGTGACGATTCCTATATCGTTTTTCTATAATAATCATTACTCGCATTCGTCATTACTGCGATTGCCTTCCGTTCTAATATCCGCCATTTTGTAGTAGATAGGACCACACTGAAAGCTTCAACGGCAATGTAAAGCTTACTAAGCTACTCTAGTGCTCTACAAGCAGCTGATGCACGTACTTTACTATGGTGCAAAAGCCACTGCAAAAGTAGTCACCTAAATAGAAAAAAGTAAAGTTACGTTTTTCTAAGAGAACACATTATTATATTAAGTGCTGTTATAATACTCAACTAAGACGAATTTCACAATCTACCTTGGATACAAAGGATACCGGCAATAACAATGTCTGCAGGATCATGTACCAATCTAAAATATCACCAACCAATAACAAAAATCGAATGCGCTCAGCATATCTGACATTTTCTCTGTAAAGACCCGAAGTGTTGGTAAACCATCCCATTATGATCCCCGATCATCACTTATACGTTTGATTTTTCAGTAAAAATTGGGCGCAGGCCTTGCGTCCACTTAATATAATCGCAGAAAAAAAAACTTTGATCGATTTCTATACAATAAAAAGCTGCTATGAAATGAAATAGAGAAACTATAGTTGATAGAAATATGTAACCTCACTATATACACTCAAACACAGGGTTAAGCAGGAACTATCGAAGAAATACAAAACTAGGGCTACTAGTCCAATATGAATGGCTCAATAATAATTAATATAATCACACAAATGAATGCGGATAGTTAGTGCCGAGAAAATCAAGTATGCGAGACGTACAGCTTTAGCATACCTGCTTTCCTCGTGTTTTACGCAATTTTAACATAAGCCAGTTAGAATTACGTTTTACTGTTTTGGCTAGAACATGTTGTTATTTCGTAAATACTTACATCTCTGGTCTTAAGTACCGCAGGCGACTTCGCAATGCCGTTGTTGATTGAACCAGAGCCTTTTACTTTTAATAGAATTGAGGAAATAAAGGCTAAAAATATGATTTCACAGGAGACGTCTTCTTAATGATATTCATCCGTATAATCCTATGTGTTTAACTAGATACGGTTGCTATTATATGCAGACAGTAACAACAAGAAAAAATGGCGGCCAGTGTTGGCTGCTGCTCATCCTTATAATGGTCACCATTTGGATAGTTGCCATTACAACAAGCAGCTGTCACGCAATCGTCCTGACCGCGTTAGAAGTCGTAAATTGATCGCATATAGCCATGAGTGCATATCTAGTAAGAGAATAAATGGGGTAGCAGATAAACAAGGACGAGGTGCCTATCGGTACGTTGACAGCGACAGTGGCGTGCTATAATTGTTAATCTTTCAGTAACAAATAAAAAAGGTAATCATCTAACTTGACATAAACACGGAAAAACCCTCTTATTGCATAAAAATTCGTTGGCTTCGTTTCAGAGATAAAGCGGATATTAAGATTTCAGCCAACCAAATATACACAAAAACTGAGACCATATGGGATTAACATTAAACTAGGGAAACAGATCAGAACACAAGAGGTTTCGTAAAGCCTATTACTGTAGAAAAACCACTTTTATCTTACGGGGTTCTAAAATGGTCCTGTAAAACTATTACGCTCGTTTTTAGCAATGAAAATTTATTAAAGGAGTTAAGAGCTGGGTTCTGAAATAACAACCAGACTCTGCGAAAAAGTTTTAATTGCATTCAGTAGGCGGTCCAATCTAATTCGCTTTTTTGGCTGGACAAATTGCTGAAGTCTACTTCTTTGCTGATGACCCAAATTTGACCGATTCTTTTCGCCTACATTCTGCGATATGGATCTGCATCATATATGGTAGAACAGGAAAGACATAGAACACAAATCGTAGCATTATCGATTTTTTGCAGAAAAATCCTGTAAGATTAACTAAGATGCAAGAACAATGTTTGCGGTATATTGCATTTATTCATATGTTGGTTTTTGTTTTCAAAACAGCGTAAAAGCAACCCGATTCCAGCAGATAGATTAACGAAGACATCTCGACATATAGTCATATCAACTCAAAAAGCGCTTCTTGGCGTATTTCTATGGACGAAGCTTTGAAGCACGAATTAGTTTACATGGTATGGCCGCACGAGCCTTACTCGTATTATTTTGTTTCGTTAGAATAGTAAACGATGTACCGGTTTAGTAACATAGCAAGTAGTGCCCAACAAGTTTTAATTTTTAAAATTTAGAAACAGTTCAATGGAAAAAAGTTTGCTGACTGTTTTTTGGAGCAAAATTGCGTACTTTCCGATACTTGTTTTTAAATAACTGACAATTGTTAAAGTTACAGTTGACTAACATATGTGCATATCTGTATAACTTAGTGCTTTTATCCACCGGTGTTGATTTCAAATTAGAAAAGATGGCATCAGATAAACGTAGTGCCATAAATTTATGACTCCAACAAATTTCTACTAAAGCTTATATGATGTCGTTGGAGATTTGTTTGGCATACATCTGAAAAAATACTGCGCGCCTGCCGTTTTATGAGTTTAGCCGCTTACCTGAGGCATGGGCACTGGGGCACCAAAAGCTTTGCTTGCTTAAGTCCGTAAACTGCCCCTTAAAGCCACAACCGGGAAGGAAGACCTAAAGCTCTAAAGATCTGTAAGAAAATGGCGTTCGAACTTCAGCACTTCACTATGGCTCATGGGCTCTACTGATGATTGCACGACATATCCGGGCGGACAGCTGAAATCTTCTGAAAGCAGCATAGCCTTTTCCTTAAACGCAAATTACTGTCATTGCCTGGATCACTATTACACTGGTCGCAGCTGTTTCTAACATATCTCACATGTTCAAAGCGTCTTCACGCATAAGCGGCAGCATCATCTGACAACGATTGCTAAGTCAGCGTTATAGTTAAACAAATACCAGGTAAACTGTAATCATTATTATGTGTCCTGAATAAGAATTGATTTCATAAGGGATACTTTATCTTGTCAGCATCAAGCCCATAAGCTAATTACAAACAACTATAATAAAAGTTACTATAGTATTGTAGGATCATCCGCGATGCTGGTATTTACCTTCACGTGTTCACACACTGGCCAACTAATAGGAAATATGTTTTATAGTCAATTATGCTTTAAACCAAATTTCAATTCATTAGTTATTGGTTACAAAGTTGACTGCGAAGCAACTTTAGTTGCTTGTCGTTTCAACGAGCGATGGTTTAAAGATACGGACTAAAAGAGATTTGTATACATACGGGAGTGACAGATTGGGGCGAAAAGAGGGTCGGCCTTTGCTTCCTTCAACGGTAAGCAAAGAACGAGACAGCCGATGTGGCTACGGCCATTCACTCTCACTGAATAGATTACTCCACTCAAACGAACTGCGGGAAGGCCGTAAGACATGGTTACTTTAACATCATGAGGCACCTCATTGAATCCTCGTTCGTTTCTGTTTAGTTCGGCAGTACATTTAACTTCTTCGATTTTCAAGAAGGCGCCTGCTGATTTCGGCTGATCTAAAAATGAAACTTATATTTTAAATGTAGTTCTGTTTATCAACGGTATGAAAAACTATTCAAAAAATTGTTACACTATAATTACGCTGCAAATGTAAACCAACTATTTTGTAGCTGAGGCCGTATAGCAATGCTAGCGCTATACTTATACTAATGACAACAATGCCTAAGTAGAATGATGTTGATTTATTCTGCGCGTTGACAATATTTCGTTAATGTTTGGACCTAAAAAGTGACACAAAATGACAATATATATATATCATCATGTCTCATGACGGTAAGTTTAAGACACAGCCCCTTATTTTTCTTTTCTTTTTTTACTTTTTTTGGGTTACACATTTCTAATGTGTATGACTAATGATAAGTTGTTTTAAGTAATTCTTGAGGTATCGCACGTTTCTCCGTAATCTGAACCGTCTATAATTTGGTCATTAATAGACGACTGTGCAAATCAGACGTAGGCAATTTAAGCTGAGCATATGGCGCCTGCGTATAAAAGTTCGCATGAAAGCATTTTACTTATAGGCTAGAAGCCGATTTCCTATTACTGTCTATACCTGCAATCAAATTGCAGCATTTGGTTCGATTGGTTAGACTGAGACGAATCGTACAAGATGATATTCTAACCTGAGGCGACGAACCCTTTTGAGTGTAAAGGTGTTTAGGTGCGACCAGCCCTTGTGGATACTTGTTGATCGATTGTACACAGGCGCCGTCATCTTTGGATTGTTATGAACATCCAGTAAGCAAAAGCCCCGATTAGGCGTTGCAGCTGTTGTCTTTGCTAAATAGTGCTTACAGGGTTTTAAATCGAAATTCCTATACTTTAAAACGAATCCTTAAACGATATGTACGACGCTCATTCCAGGGTATCTGTTTCCTTGCGCAAATCCATATTAGGGCACTACTTAGGAGTATGTTGCACTTACACGTTCACTAGTGATTTAATGCCTCATATCACAATGTTCAAGCTATATATCACCTTGTACTAGAATACGCAAATAACGGGTACGACAAAAGAGATCAGATTAAACGTGCGTTGTTCTACTGAGTGGGACCCAGACTGTTTTCGGTACAAATCCTGCCGTTGACTTCAATGAAAATCACCGCCTTCGTATACCAAATCATGAATACAGCCCTGCATCAAGTTTGCTATCCTCCCCTCACACTGCTTCGACATCGTGTAACGCTCATGGTAGTCCCGACAGCCGCTGCAGGGGTAGTCGTCTCTAAAGTTTCTTGAGCATCTCATCTTTTCACCGTCATAACACTTCGGAGCAGAACTAAGACTGGCACAAACACAGCCATCGGACACCTGTACCACTGCCATTAACCCAGCAGATCAACGGCGTACACCACACATTCAATCCCGGTCTTTTGTATGCGCTTCTCTGGCAGCCACGCCATATCTCTGTAAACCAGAGGCACATCGGTGCGGTGCACGCTTGCTAGATACGACAGACCCTTTCATTGCGTAGAGATTCCGCAATGGCTCAACTTCTACTATTACTATCACAACTACGCAGCTTCATTTGATGGTCATCGCTTTTCATGGCGCTTTTCCTCGTCAAACACTTCTTTCTTGGTCACAGGAACAGCACAATTTCAATCAGTTTCCACTGTACCGACATGTTTGACGTGCACCACAAATACTAGAAATGGTGCATGGGGACACTGTAAATATTAGCGAACGTAGCATTTTGTTTTCCAAGACAAGTAACGCGCGGAAATTATCGCTTGAATGAGTAGTGCACTACATAGATCACGAGATAATTGTATTACTCAAGAAGCCACTAAACGCATTACGCGTGAAAAAAACTAAGGGAAGGCTTCGACGATAAGATGTCAATAGTGTTTCGAGTTCATTCACTTTGTGATGTTCATGGTTATGAACTATCGATACCAATAGCTTTCGAAATCGCTCATGCGCTTTAGTACAATCTTTCTTTCTTAAATAATCGCAAACAATAAATATCTCACTGTATTTGTTTACTGCCGTTTTAATGGCATACCAGGACGTTGCAAGCAACAGGCTGAACAGCTGTCGACAAATCGACGATTGTACCTTTCCTAGCTAGATCATAGCGTGAGCACAGACAGCAGTAAAATGCAACAACAACAACTGATTACGATACCGTTTTGGCCGTATGGATCAGTCCAAGCGGTGCTTCAAACATTTAAAAGTTTTCCAAGCGTCTAATCGACTTCTGCTGGGATTTGGGTATTCTTTTTCACGTTTACTAAGGTTATCGATGGTGTTGCTTGGCTTCTCTATCTCTAGTTGTTGTTGAACGGATGGACTTTGTCTGTCGGGTATAAGATGGAAGCCAGGTTGCAATGACATTAGCCGGCGTAGCTGCAATTGGGCATCTGTATGCGAAAGTTCAGCACGAGCGCAGCCGATGCCGGCAAAGCGCCAACAGCGTTGTCGTCGTCGTCGTCGAGGCCGCAATCACCGCTGTCGGCCGAAGTTGGTGTGCAGTCATGAGGAGTGGGCAGAGACGAATTCGGTAAATAGTTGTGCGTAAATGTAATGTGGCCAGCCACAGGCAAATACGATATAAACAGCCCCACTCGTAGTCGTAGTAGTAACCTCTAAGTTTGAAACACCGTTCTGGACAGCGCGTTCAACAAGCTGCTAGGGTTTAGCATATTCACACTACGTTCTCAGGTAGGCTTTCCTAGCATTTGCACATATATCTAACGTGTATGTATTTCTTGGTCCAAATGATCGAGTACCAAGAAAATTTCTCACACGTGTGGGTCATGAAGATATCCTGTTGGCAAATGCTAAGACTGCTGCTAACTTTTTTCCTCTCTTATAGCATTATGAATTTAGTAATTATTTAAAGGCAAGGCTAAACAGCTTGATGCGTTAATGAAGCAACAAAGTTCCTTATATATTCCTGCCTACCTATCAAGCTCCCTGACACTGCACATGAATTATTTGAATAAACTTCAGGTGAGTCGACGATCAATGATGCCACCTTTATCGTTCGGCGTTGTTAGCGTCATTTCAGATGCGTTTCTTCACCGTCTCCCAAACTGTCCAGTAAATAATTGAAATGGTCAAAAAAGGTAGAAGGGTCAGAGCGGCAGATCAGAGGTCTCCACAAAAGGACATCATACATCGTTCCCCCGAATCGATCCGGAACCGGATCGCGAAGCAAAATCACTTGCTGCTCGTGTTGGTAATGTTGCTGAGACTGGATGAAAGCATACTTGCGCTTAAAGCGGCCGATCTTACAGATCAGGACGGAGCGGTATCAAAATCGGCGTTCGATCGTTCCGCAAAATGACGCTTCGGTCAATGAGTCAGGAGAAATACGTAAACGTACTGAAATGAATAGCGATTACATTAAATACTATCCAAATGAAGATTTATATTTTAAAAAATATACAGCTACATGTGTATAACTTACGATATTATACTAAGCTACTCACACTTTATTCGCAATATGCATAATTTTACTTAAAGATAAATAACATGGGCCATCATGAGTTGTGATGTCAAAATTTGCTTTAAAAAATAAATGAAAGACCCAACGTTAACAACGTCATCAACCCTGACTGATGTTTTAGGTTAAAAACGATTGCTTGTTCTCTGAATTTACATACCAACTTATGTTGGAAGCATCGCCACTTTTATTTACTGCACTATCGACTTATTTGACATAATTCTGATGAAATAGGTTAAAACTCAGAATTGATTTCCCGATTACGGCTAAGATTGTTAAAATATCGTATTGGTTTGTCATCAGTCGTCGATGATAACATCGGAGATAATTTTTACTTGGTGAAAAAGCACAATGAATGGAAAAATACCATAGAATACAGACGCTCTTTTTAAGTGACATCTCCATAAAGAAAATGTGGACTATTATACCTTCTCTAAATAAGCTACCGGTGTAGGGTTTGACGTGTCATTCGCTATAAAGTAATATTCCATTACTGTCCTTTTTGACAGGACCGCAATTTCGCTGGCGGATTGATAATCCGTCGAAAATGATGTTTTTGCAGCATCCATTATATATAATCACCAATTACATAATTTAAGGTTATGGTGATAGGCCATCGTCAAAAGCTCACTGATGTCACATTGTCAGTGTTATTCTCTATGGTTTTCCTATGGTATTTTCGTAATGGCAAGCATAGAATGTCGATGGCGAATATATATATATATATATATATATATATATGTATGGACAATTAAAAAAAACAAATAAGGAACAAACATCTATACAAATCTAAAAAGCTGTTCTATCCTATATTTATATATAGGAAAATTATGAGTGTTGATAGCTTCGAAAGGATCGTGAAATCGATGTATCTTAGACGTACCGTCAGTATAAAATCGCAAAAATGGTTATATTCTATTGCGAAATATACGAAACGAGCTGTAAGTTTGTGGCAAGAAAGCTGGAATTAGGATTAAATGCGAGCTTTAACTAACTGATATCCTACTGTCTTCTTTTGGAAAGGGAAAGTTTAAAAGGCGAAGACGAAACACCAGAGGTCACGACTCTGCGACCAGCTAGGGTAACGGTTGATTGCAAGAGATGGTTCGATAGGTGCTCCCTTCGGTGTACCACGGGTTTTTATAAATAGAGGTTCGGCAATGAAAAGCACACAAGATATGAAACATGTGGCATAAGTGAAAAGTTAATGAGAAGTTAACCTACTACGCTATTCTCGTAATAAGTTAACTCTGATCCTCGAATTTCTAAAAGCTTTTATGGCCACCGATTGGACAGGTCGCTTTCCTATAGCTGAGTCAAATGACGAAATAGACTTTTCACGATGTGCCCTTGTCCGACTAAAAGTGTAACTAGAGAAAAAATAGTGAAAATTAAGACCCAGCAGCAAGCGTGGAAACCCAACATAAGTATCCAGATAGGATCTTTGAATCTACGTAGATTACTTTTTATACTGATAAAGATTTTGTGTCTCTTTTTGTTGGCGGATTAAGTCATACTACCTTTTAGCATACTATCTGTAACCATGGCGCAGCAATTACCGAAGAACTTCTGCAAAGATTTGAACCTACACTAGAGATAAAAAAAATCTGCTGAAAAGTCAGAGCAAAAAGTATTCCACAGCGCGTGCTGTTCATGCGCTGAACACTTTCAAAACGGAGCAGTTGCACAAGATTGATTCTGATAGTGAAGCTCCTGATAATGATTAAGATAAAAAAAAATTCCTGAATTTTGACACGAAAGACCGTCTTGTTTCCACACTTGTCTCCATTGACGAACATGGGGAAGTCTTTTACGCCTAACATGTTTTCATCGTTATAACCGTTCCAGTTGTTGGCTCTCCTCGAGTTTTTAGAGATTCGAAGACTAGAGCTAATTGAGTGTATTATTTTCCGGTTGCTATATTTCTCAGTTCCCATTCCTAAAAGAGAATGACTGGAAACTGATTTACTGGTAGCGAGTTTCACAAATCGTGGCATTTAGCAGCTCTCTTGCAACATTCTTCATACTGAACTTTTTACGGGAATACACGTAGTATTCCTGTTTAAAAGTCCTAAAATATTTGTCATTACCATTCTTATTACTTCATTAAAAGGTTTCTTTATCAAGCTAATGGTAAGTAAGTCACACTAACTTCACCTTCGCCTTCGTGTTAATGATACAGTACCACATATCGTTGAAAACCTCTTTTCTTTGCTTTTTTGAGTCATTATATTAGGCTCACAGAATCTCTAATTTGAATTCTAAATATGAATATACCTGATGATAAAAGAAGACATTTTTATCACCTTTTGTTTGTTTCTCTACGGAGCTCAAAGGGCTGCCAAGACAACTCAAGCTACGCATGCGATGTACGGCACTAATTATATAGCTGAAAGACAAAAGCGACTTACTAATTAAAAAAAGAAAAAAAATCTTTGGCCTGAAATGCGCACATCACTCGACTTTTCGAATTTTCCGAAGATCACTTTTGGAGTGGAGATATAAAAATAATAAACATGCTATACAACTATAGAGACTTCATTGAGAGATAAACAGATATAAAAGGCTGCTTTAGCGGATTCACCGAAAATAGTAAATAAGGTAGGCGTGGAAAATGCTGTCCCTTGCCAACCGATATCCCCATTTTTGGGGTCCGAACATGAGATGAAATTTTATAATCTGGGCAAAACGATGATAATAGACTGTCTTGAGTTAAGGGAAGACGTTTCAACGGCACACAACATTGGCCATTAGCAAACAAAAAACCACTAAACGCTAGAAGCGATAAACAAAACCGGGCATTGCTTACACGCCACCCACGCGTGTATCGATTACAATTCTATGTCACGTATTAATGTCTGATATGGAGGCTGGGGAAGGATTAGGTGATATAATATAGCATTACTGTGCGACTTGAAGAACGACAATAAGATTATCTTACTTGGGATAATAGTAAGTAGATTACCTAAATATACTCATGCATCCGCCAGATAAATTAATGATTCCCTTTTGACAATGGACGACGGTTAAAGGGTGAAGAAAAAACTCGTTTCGGATGTATGATGAAAACATTTTAAAAAAACAGTTAAATTTCTCTCCGTTGTTCATGATTAGTTACAGTTGATTAAAAACAGCAGTCTTAAATCTACGAGTAACCGACCGTAGCTTAAAGTTGTATCACCGATAGCACCTGTGTTCTTTAAAATGTAAGTTCCCAAGTTTAGGCATTCCAGATTCCGTATTCGAAAAAAAGCGGGCGTAATCAATATG